GTCTGTTTGGTCTGTGTCCTAAATGTCATCATTTTTTCCATTCAATTTTGAATAAAAAGTGTTTCTATTCAAAAAAAAAAATGATATCAGATTCAAGTGATTTTTTGTAGAGATGATCTTTTCTCGCTATAGTGTTGAGGCATGATCCTAAATTAATGTTAAGTGGATTTGTATCTTAAAAATCTTTAGAACACACTGCACCTGCACACTATGGATAATTCAGAAAGGAAATAAATGAAAATTGCCGAGAAGTTTGGCCCCTAATTTGGTTTGGAATAAGAGTGACGCCAAACTATAAGTAAAGCAATTTAAATTATTGAATAATTTCTATAAAAGAATATACAAAGCTGAAGAAACATAGGACTTGGTTGTTCACTTCCTAATTTGGGTCAATAAAAAGTTGGGTTGTTCACTTCCTAATTTGGGTCAATAAAAAGTTGAAGAAGTCTCTCTGGTAGAATGTGGTCAATCATGCAAAATATGCTAGTCAGAGCATATGTGCAACATATTCACATTTTTCGTTTGCTTGATGGTTTTCCATTTCAGTTTATGCGCTCTGGAAGGTCCCTGATCTCTTGCCTTCTTTCATGCTGAAAGGGGGTGAGGTTTCTCGATATATCATTGGAGGGGCAGATTTGATGTTCCCCGGTATCAGCATACCTGCTGAAGGTCTACCTTCATTTATAGCAGGGGAAGTGTGGGCAGTAAAAGTTCCAGGAAATCCAGCTCCAATTGCTGTAAGGCTCTTTTTAATAAGTATATGCTAATGCATTTAGGATTACCAGGACAAACCTTCAGTTCATTTATTTATTTAAATTAAAATTAGGGCATATTCTTCTTATTTGTCAATTTCACTACAGGTGGGGACTACCACTATGAGCAGTACTGAAGCAGTAAAAGCTGGCTTACGAGGAAAGGCCTTAAAGATTATGCACTATTACCATGACTTACTTTGGTAAGTATCTGTGGAGAAACGGACTTAGAGATTGATCAATAATTGGAAATTTTGTATAATAACATTTTTTGTGGGATCTTTTTCCAGGGAATCAGTAGAGTGTCCTTATGTGCCAAATGCAGGCTTTTTTGAAGATGTTGTGTTTGAGGATCCTACCTTGTCATCATTGCAAGTTTCTGATTCATACTCTGGTGCAAATGATAGTTCAAATGATCAACAGAATGGCATCAGTGATAAGGAAAATGGGCAATCTGTTGATATTGCTGATGTGCTCTCTGAACCTAGTTCTGCTTCGGTGGCACAGACCAATTCTGGGAATGAGATTGCTGAAGAAATAGCTGCACATGTAGACGATCTGAAGGTAACAGATGATGGCTCTGCTGAT